GTTCCCTCCCACAGAGGCTCCTCTGCAGACTCTCCACCTGGACGTGTGGGGCCCAGCCCGCGTCCGTGGACAGGGCCACGAGCGGTACTTCCTGCTGGTTGTCGACGACTACACGCGCTACACCACGGTCTTCCCCTTGCGCACCAAGGGTGAGGTCCCTGATGTTTTGATCCCTTGGATCCGCGCTGCTCGTCTCCAGCTCCGCGACCGGTTCCAGTCGGACTTTCCCGTCCTGCGTCTGCACTCTGACCGAGGTGGTGAGTTTTCCTCTGACCTCTTGGCAGCCTACTGTGCGGAGCATGGCATCCGCCAAACGTTCACGCTTCCGGCCTCTCCAGAGCAGAATGGGGTTGCTGAGCGCCGCATTGGCTTGGTCATGGAGATCCCTTGTACCTCCTTGATCCATGCGGCTGCCCCCCATTTCCTGTGGCCGTTTGCAGTCCAGTACGCTGCGCATCAGCTCAACCTCTGGCCCCGTGTCTCCGCTCCGGAGACCTCGCCCACACTGCTGTGGACGGGGCAGGTTGGCGATGCGTCGCGTTTCCGGGTCTGGGGTGCTCGTGCCTTTGTCCGCGATACCACTGCGGACAAGCTCTCCGTCCGCGCTGTTCCTTGTGTCTTCCTTGGCTTTGTCCCCGATGCGCCTGGTTGGCAGTTTTACCACCCCATCTCGCGCCGTGTCTTCCCCTCTCAGGACGTCACCTTTGACGAGTCGGTACCCTTTTACCGTCTGTTCCCCTACCGCACTGCTCCGCTCCCTCCCCCGCCTCTCTTCCTCACCCCAGGTGCCCCTCCGGTAGACCCCCTCCCTCCCCAGGGTCCTGCTCCCTCAGGTGTTTCCCAGGTAGATGCATTTGAGCCTGTCGAGGTAGCTCTTGACTCTGGTCCTGAGCGGGGTACTGAGCCTGGGGGTGCTGAGCCTGGGGGTGCTGAGACTGGGGGTGCTGAGCCTGGGGGTGCTGCGACTAGGGGTGCTGCGCCTTTGAGTACTGAGACTGGGGGTACTGCGGCTGGGGGTGCTGAGCCTGGGGGTGTTGACGCTGTTGGTGCTCCCTCTTCACAGCAGCCACGTGAGTGGTACGCTCGGCGCTGCAGCCTCCGGGGTGGAGCTCCTAGTTTTGAGTTACCGCCTGCTGGAGGCCTGGCTGCTCCTGGAGGTGCTGCTGGTGCTACTGGAGGTTCTGGAGCTGTTGGAGGTGCTGCTGGTGCTGCTGGAGGTGCTACTGGAGCTGCTGGAGGTGCTGCTGGTGCTGCTGGAGGTACTGGAGCTACTGGAGGTGCTGCTGGTGCTGCTGGAGGTACTGGAGCTGCTGGAGCTCCTAGTGGTGCTCCTGGTCCTGGGACTGGTGGTGCTGCTGGAGCTGGTACTACTGGAGGTACTGACGTTGACACTCCTGAGGGTGCTACTAGTGCTGCGGGAGTTGGAGCTGCTGCTGGGGGTTCTGGTGCTGTCTCTGCTGGTTCTGGGGGCACGTCACGGCCGCGTCCGTACTTCGTTCCGCTCCTTCAGCAGGTTCTTGGTCGGTCTCCTCCTCCTTGTCCTGCTCCCTCCTTAGAGTGTCCTTCGCCTGTCCGGTTGCAGTCACTGTTACGGCCCACCTCACCACTTCTTGGTCCCTCTCCCTACACTGGTCCGACAGGAGGTCTTACGGAGCGTCGCGAGCCTGAGTCTCGTCCTGTGTCGCCTGAGTCTCGTTCTGCGTCACCTGTTCGTCCTGCTCGCCCTGGTCGTCGTGTCCCGCGTCAGCGTCCTCCTGCTGTCCCCGGCACTCACCAGATGCTGCTTCGTCTTTCCACTGCTCCACGGCGTGTCCCTCTGCCTTCTCCTCCTGCGTCCTCCCTTCCTGCTCTTGCTGACCCTGAGTCTGACTCTCTTCGTGCTGCTAGTCCTGCTGTCACGCGTCTCCTGTCCACAGTTGTCACTGACCCTTCCTTTGAGTCAGCTGCTGCGTCTGCCTTAGTTACTGAGCTTGTCGACTTTGCTGCTCACTGTAGACTAGACTACGCTGCCAGTCTTGTTGCTGCGTCTGAGTCTGTCTGTCCTCCGTCCGTCGGGGGTGAGTGTGCTCTTGGCACGGACGTCCTTGAGGACAGGCAGGAGGAGTTTGAGTGCTTTGCCACCGCTGTTCCTCATCTCGTGTCCATGCTGATTGCACCTGAGGGAGACCCGGATGCTCCAGACATCCCGACCCCGCGCTCTTACGCTGAGGCGATCGCGGGTGAGTACTCCTCTCAGTGGCAGACAGCCATGGATGCAGAGATGGCATCCTGGAAGTCCACTGGCACTTACGTCGACGAGGTTCCCCCTCCTGGGGCGAATATCGTCAGTGGCATGTGGATTTTCAGGGTGAAGCGGCCGCCAGGTTCTCCGCATGTCTTCAAGGCTCGGTACGTTGCTCGAGGCTTCAGTCAGTGCCAGGGAGTTGACTTCTTTCAGACCTTCTCCCCCACCCCGAAGATGACCACTCTTCGGGTGCTGCTGCACGTTGCCGCTCAGCGTGACTACGAGCTTCACTCTCTTGACTTCAGCACAGCTTTCTTGCAAGGCAGCCTGCACGAGGAGATCTGGCTGCGCCGGCTTCACTGGGTCGTTCCCTCCTGGTACCCAGTGGAGCCTCCGGCGGCCGGTCTACGGTCTCCGCCAGGCTCCACGTGAGTGGCACGACACACTGAGGACTACACTTGCGGCTCTTGGGTTCTCGTCTTCTACTGCCGACCCGTCGCTGTTTCTGCGCACCGACACTTCACTGCCGCCGTTCTACATCGTCGTGTACGTCGACGACTTGGTCTTTGCCACTGCTGACACTGAGGCTCTCGCCCACGTGAAGTCGGAGCTGCAGAAGAGACACACGTGCACAGACCTGGGTGAGTTGACAAGCTATCTTGGCTTGCGGATCACCCGGGACAGAGCACGCCGCACCATCACACTGACTCAGTCACACATGGTGCAGCAGGTCCTTCAGCGCTTCGGCTTCACCTGGTCCTCAGCACAGGCCACTCCTCTGGCTATAGGTCACTCGCTCTCAGCTCTGCCTTCGGATGAGTCCGTAGAGCCGAGTGGTCCTTACCCAGAGCTAGTTGGTTGCCTCATGTACCTGATGACTTGCACTCGTCCTGACCTAGCATACCCTCTTGGCCTTCTGGCCCGCTATGTGGCTCCTGGCAGGCACCGAAAGGTGCACTGGGATGCTGCAAAGAGGGTATTGCGCTACTTGTGCAGTACATCGGGCATGGGGCTCGTGCTTGGAGGGAGGCGCTCAGTTGTTCTCACTGGGCACTCAGACGCTTCTTGGGTTGACGACCAGGCTACTCAGCGGTCGTCACAGGGTTACACCTTGAGCCTTGGCTCTGGTTCAGTTTCTTGGCGTTCTACTCGCTCGTCTTCAGTTCTCAGCTCCAGTTGTGAGGCTGAGATCTACGCCACAGCCATGGCTGCACAGGAGTTACGCTGGCTGACCTACCTGCTGACCAACTTGGGAGAGCGGCCTAGTTCTCCTCCAGTGCTGTACGTCGACAACAAGGCTGCCATTGCCTTGTGTCAGGAGCACAGACTGGAGCACAGAACGAAGCACATCGCTCTCCGTTACTTCCTGGCTCGAGAGCTGCAGCAGCGCGGTCAGCTTTGTCTGCGCTACGTGGCCACTCGGGCCAACACCGCTGATATATTCACCAAGGCTCTTCAGCCTGGTGATCATCAGCGCTTCTGCACTGTACTGGGGCTTGTGCCCACTGTTCCTCACTTATTGTAGGCTTTGTCTGTACTGTGATCTCTATATATATATACCTGCTTGTTTGTTTTGTTAGGTTGAGATCACCTTGCTGTTTGTGTTGTATATATGCCTCTGCATTTGAACTGGCCCTGTGGTCCTTTCCTTGTGCTCAGATTGTGTGGTGACGTTGTGATCCACCCTGAGCTTGCTTTGTCTTTCTTGACTGGTCTTGTGACCCCTTGCTCTCCCCCACTTTGCCTATGGGGGTGTGTCAAACATTATCTATATGTTATTATTGTATAGGCTATAGTGGGTTAGCCTTTAGGGGGTACACAATTCTAGGGTTTCATACTTGTACTCCAATCTTTCATAGTTCAATCACTTCTTGTTTCTGACAAGTTCGTCACTGGTTACTTGGCCCAACCATACCTCTTCAACTCCCTCCCACGGACGCCTTACCCTGAAACGAATTTCACTTCGATACAGTCACTTCTTTCCCAACAAACAGAGCTGGCAACTACAATTGAAGCAACCCCCCATGCAAACAGGAAATTACAAATCGCCTCCTCCCCCCTCGCACCTGCTCCTGGCACTCTGAAATACCTCTGTGCTCTACCCGGCCCGTTACAAGACCTGATCCCAGAGGATGTCACTTCGGAGAAGCTAGAGGCGGCCAGGCAGGCAGCGCCAGCGCCATTTATCAAGTTGGACCACTATAACGCTCTGATGGAGCTGCTGGGAGGGCGGCGATTCGAGCAGTACAAAGTGCAGGGATCGGGAACGGAGACCAAGGTGTATTCTAAGGTGACTCAAGCTTACCCGTGCGTTTTTCACCAGTCAGGGAATAAGATGAAGAGAGGGGTGGTGAATGAGATAGTGGAGAATGGGACCCTGGATGCCATTGCGTTTGGAGGATGAAGCAGCTCAATGTATTTCAGCCTCTGGTCTGGGCTCTGGACTGTAGCTAAGTTTAGTGCCTGTGGTGTGGTTGCTTGGAGCAGCAGTATCTTGGTTGTGCAAATGTTAAAACTTGTCTAATGTATAAAAGCTATGGTAATCTAATTCTATCAGGTAGGACAAAGCACGTGTTTGCTACCAAAATACAATCTTACTTGTAGGTATGTTTGTAATGCAATGGCATTTGAATGAGCTGCTGACTTGTAGTTGAATAGCTTATGTGTTGCATGTGCTGTTACTAGCTGATTGTACGTGCCTAAGTGTGGTCACCTTGCCCAGTACAATGTGTGCCTGAAATTGTTTGCTCTGAAGACTGATGGTGTTAGACCACACATGGTGTTCATGCTGAGGAGTGCAGCACCAGTGATTTTAGGTCAGAAAGCCGGAAGAGGGAGTCTGGGAGGCGGGAGGCAGGTGGTAAAGCCCCAGAATTTTCAGGGGAGTGAGTTGGCCGATGCAGTCAGGGAGATGGGAGAGAGGCAGCGAGTGCAGCAACAGTTTCTGTACGCTTAGCTTCTCCCCTCCCTGCCTCCCCTTTCTCCCATCCCTGCCCCTGATTTCGACCCCACAACGCGCAACTTCTCCCCTCTGTGCCCCTTGTTTCTCCCCGCAGTGTTCTCGGTTTCTTCCCTCCCTGCCCCCATTATTTCCCGGCAATGCCTTCCGTTTCTCCCCTCCCTGCCCTTTGGTTTCCCCTCGCTGCCCTCTCCTCTCCACCTCCTGCTGCCCTCTTACTACAATCAGAATCCCCGTTTCTCCCCACCCTCTCCTCCCTCCCCACTTCCCTGCTGCGTGCTTCCCCCACCCCTACCCTCCTCCCGCCCGTCCACACCTCCTGCCCGTTCTTCCCCCCTTGCCCCCTGTTCCACCTTGCTCCTCACCCCCGCTGCTTCCCACGGCACGGCCCTTGCCGCCCATCCGTGCCTCTGGTTTCTCCCCCCTGCTGCCTCCGTTTCGTCCCTTCCCTGCTCTTTTGAGTCGACTCAAAACGAGGTGACTTTTGAGTTGACTCAAAACGAGGTGACTTTTGAGTCGACTCAAAAGTGCCTCTGGTTTCTCCCCTCTGCTCCCTCCGTTTCATCCCTTCCCTGCTCTTTCCACCCCCCCCCCCCCCCCTCGACTGTCTCTTCACGCTCTGTGCCTTTAAGTTCTCCCCTCTGCTGCCTCCGTTTCGTCCCCTCTCTCTCTGCTCCTGCCCCCCCCCCCCCCCCTCCTCGACCCTCTCGTCACCCTCTGCCCACCCCTTTTTCTTGAACTCCGCTGGCCCAGCCGCAGCCCTTTGCCACCCCTCCCTTTGCTCTCTCAATTCCCCTGCCCCACGTCACCGTACCTCCTTACATCCGCTCTTTGAGTCGACTCAAAAAGCTTTGCCGCCCCTCCCGCCCTCTCAACTCCCCTGCCCCTGTACACCGTGCCTCCTAACATCCGCTCCCACCACATGAAGTCAGGAAGGCACTTTTGAGAATACTCAAAAGTGACTCTCAAGGAGTCAGGGAGGTTGAGAGAGACAGCTTCTGCAGCACCAGCGTCTTCAAAGCACCCAAGATTTCGAATTCTTCGGGACGCTCAAGGTTATTTGGGGCGCTCGATATTCAAACACCAGCGTGTTCAGGGCCGAAAGCCAAACATGGGAGCCAGGGAGGTCTGAGAGAGACAGCTTCTGCAGCATCAGCCTCTTCAAAACGATAATATTCTCAAAACCCACGGAAAGCGTAAAACGACCGAGCAGGAAGAAACGGTCAGGCTCCCCAAAAGGTGTTAAAGTTACGAACAAGAATGAATGCATTGAGCAGAAGTTGGGTACAAGTACTAACCCTAATTTAATTGTACCCCTTATGGGCTACCCCACTACAGCCTACACAATGTAAGCTATATATAAGTTTGACACACCCCCATAGGCAAAGTGGGGGAGAACAAGTGGTCACAAGACCAGTCCAGCAAAGCAAAGCAAGCTCAGGGTGGATCACAAAGTCACCGCACAGTCCGAGCACAAGCAAAGGGCCAAAATGCCAGTTCACATGCATAGTTATACGTATATATATGTAAAGAGAACAAACAAGACAGTGATCATCCCCTAGCAAGTGCAAGCATGCAGGTATACATATAGATCACAGTACAAGCAGAGTCAAGCAGTAAGCGAGGCAAGGTAGGCACAAGGCCTAACACAGTAGAGAAGCGTTGATGATCACTAGGCGGAAGTGCCTTGGTGAATACATCAGCAGTGTTGGCCCTAGTGGCCACGTACGCAAGACGAAGCTGGCCACGCTGCTGCAACTCTCGAGCAAGGAAGTATCGCAGAGCGATGTGCTTCGTTCGGTGCTCCAGTCTGTGCTCCTGACACAAGGCAATCATGGCCTTGTTGTCTACGTACAGAACTGGAGGTGAACAAGGCTGCTCTCCCAAGTCACTCAGCAGGTAGGTGAGCCAGCGAAGCTCCTGTGCAGCCATGGCCCCGGCGTAGATCTCAGCCTCACAACTGGAGCTGAGAACCGAAGACGAGCAGGTAGACCGCCAGGACACAGAGCCGGAACTGAGGCTGAAGGTGTAACCCTGTGACGACCGCTGCGTAGCTGAGTCGTCAACCCAGGAAGCGTCTGCGTGACCGGTGAGGACAACTGGACCCCGTCCTCCAAGCACGAGCCCCATGCCCGACGTACTGCACAAGTAACGCAGTACCCTCTTTGCAGCATCCTAGTGCACCTTTCGGTGCCTACCGGGAGCCACGTAGCGAGCCAGGAGGCTAAGAGGGTACGCGAGGTCAGGTCGTGTGCACGTCATCAGGTACATGAGGCAACCCACAAGCTCTGGGTACGGACCATTCGGCTCTACGGACTCGTCCGAAGGTGGAGCTGAGAGCGAGTGGCTGGTAGACAGAGGAGTGAGCTGTGGCGAGGAGTACTGGAAGCCGAAGCGCTGAAGGACCTGGTGCACCATGTGTGACTGAGTCAGGGTGATGGTGCGCCGTGCTCTGTCCCGGGTGATCTGCAAGCCAAGATAGCTACGCAGTTCACCCAGGTCAGTGCAGGTGTGTCTCTTCTGCAGCTCCGACTTCACAAGGGTCAGTGCCTCAGTGTCAGCAGTGGCAAAGACGAGGTCGTTGACGTACATGAGGACGTAGAACGGCGGCAGCGAGGTGTCGGTGCGTAGAAACAGCGACGGGTCAGCAGTAGCAGGAGCAAACCCAAGAGCCACAAGTGTAGTCCTCAGTGTGTCGTGCCACTCGCGAGGCGCCTGGCGGAGACCGTAGACCGGCCGCCGGAGGCTCCATTGAGTAACTGCAGGAAATGACTCAGTGAAGCCAGGTGGGCGGCGCAGCCAGATCTCCTCGTACAGGCTGCCCTGCAGGAAAGCTGTGCTGAAGTCCAGAGAGTACAACTCGTAGTCACGCTGAGTCACACTCTCGTAGTCGAAGAGTGGTCATCTTCTAGGTGGGGGAGAAGGTCTGGAAGTAGTCAACCCCCTGTCGCTGACTGAAGCCTCGAGCAACATAACGCGCCTTGAAGGCAGGCGGAGAACCCGGCGGCCGCTTCACCCTGAAAATCCACATGCCATCGACTATGTTCGCCCCACGTGGGGGAACCTCGTCGACGTAGGTGCCTATGGACTTCCAGGATGCTATCTTGGCATCCATGGCTGCCTGCCACTGAGAGGAATAAGGACCCGTAATCGCCTCTGCGTAAGATCGCGGGGTCGGGTTGTCTGGTGCATCTGGGTCTCCCTCAGGGGCAAGCTGCATGGAAGCGAAACGAGGTATAGCAGCTGCAAGACACTCAAATTCCTCCTGCCTGTTCCCAAGGACGTCCGTGCCAAGAGCACACTCACCCCCGACGGACGGAGGACTGGCAGACTCAGACTCAGCAACAAGAGCAGTGGCGTAGTCTAGACAACAGGCAGCAGCAAAGTCAAGCAACTCAGCAACGAGAGCAGACACAGCAGCAGATTCAGACTCAGGGTCAGGGACCTCTGGAAGAGAGGACTCAGGAGGAGCAGGCAGAGGAACACGTAGTGGAACAGAGGAAGGACGAAGTGCCATAGCGTGCGTGCCGGGGACAGGAGGAGGACGCGAACGAGGAACGCGACGAGCAGTGCGAACATGCGAGACAGGAGGAGACGCAGGCTCACGACGCTCTGTAAGACCGCCGGACTGCTCAGTGTAAGGAGAGGGAGAAGGCAGTGGAGAGGCTGGCTGCAACGGCAGCTGCGACTGGTCAGGCGGTGAACACAGGAAGGGAGGAGTAAGGCTAGTAGAAGACGGGACACCAAGAACCTGCTGAAGCAGGGGAACGAAGTACGGTCGCGGCCGGACAGTGTCTCTAGCACCTCCAGCTCCAGGGTCAACAGCTCCAGCTCCTGCAGCTCCAGCGCCTCCAGCTCCAGCAGCTCCAGGCTCCGTAGGGTCTCCAGCTCCAGCGCCCTCAACACCACCAGTCTCGGCAGCTGCAGTACCCCTGGTACGAGCACCTCCAGGACCAGTAGCCGCAGTACCTCCAGTACCACCAGCTCCTGCAGTAACTCCAGCACCTCTAGCTCCAGCGTCTTCAGCGCCTCCAGCTCCGGTAGCTCCACTCCGAAGGCATGCGCGCAGAACAAACCACTCACGCACCTGCTGCGGAGACAGTCGCGGCAAAGCACCAGCAGGACCTCCAGACGAAGCAGCACCCCGAGGCTCAGCACCCCCAGACTCCGCACCCTCCGACTCAGCACCCCCAGGCTCAGCACCCTCAGGCTCCAGACCCACAGGCTCAGCACCCCCAGGCTCCTTACCCCCAGGCTCAGAACCCCCAGATCCAGCACCCTCAGACTCTGCACCCTCCGGCTCCGCACCCCCAGACGCAGCACCTCGAGCAGCACCTGAGCCGACAGCTACCTGAACAAGCGCAGGACCAAGGAGAGGGTCTACCTGAGACACACCTGAGGGAGCAGGACCCTAGGGCGGGAGGGGGTCTACCGGAGGGGGATCGGGAGCAAGGAAGAGCGGCGGGGGCAGGGGAGGGGCAGAGCGGTAGGGAAAGAGACGGTAAAAGGTAACCGACTCGTCAAACGTGACGTCCTGAGAAGGGAAGACACGGTGCGAGGTGGGGTGGTAAAACTGCCAGCCAGGCGCGTCAGGGACAAAGCCAAGGAAGACGCAGGGGATAGCACGGGGGGAGAGCTTGTCCGCGGACGTATCGTGGACAAAGGCACGAGATCCCCAGACCTGGAACACCGACGCATCGCCAACCTCCCCCGTCCTACGCAGTGTGGGCGAGGTCTCCAACAAGGAGACACGGGGCCAGAGGTTGAGCTGATGCGCAGCGTACCGGACCGCAAACGGCCACAGAAAATGGGGAGCAGCCGCATGGATCATGGAGGTACGAGCCACCTCCATGACTAAGCCAATGCGGCGCTCAGCAATCCCATTTTGCTGAGGGGAGTCCGGAAGCTTGAACGACTGGAGAATGCCCTCCCCACGACAAAAATCCCGCAAGAGGTTGGAGGAGAACTCACCACCTCTGTCAGAGTGCAGACGCAGGACAGGAAGGTCCTGGCCGAACCGCTCGCGGAGCTGGAGATGGACTGTGCGGATCCAAGGGATCAAGACATCAACGACCTGACCCTTGTTGCGCAAGGAGAAGACCGTGGTGTACCGTGTGTAGTCGTCAACTACCAGCAGAAAGTAGCGCTCGCGGCTCTGTCCACTGACGCGGGCTGCGCCCCACACATTCATGTGGAGAGTCTGCAGGGGAGCAGTCGTCGGGGGAAACGAGGAGGAGTGAGGAGCGGCGCGCTGCCGCCCCTTGACGCAAGGAAGGCAGGGCGGGGCAGGCGAGGGCGGCAGGGGAGGCAGGGACCTGGGAAGACCAGAGACAAGAAGACAAGGCTGCATGCCACGAAGGCGTGGCAGGGAGGGGTGACCCAGGCGGTGGTGCCACAGAAGAGTCTGGTGCGACAGGAGGCGACACAAGCAAGAGGTGGCTACCTGACCTGACGCGGACACTTGAGCAGACGCAGCTACCTGAGGAGGCTCGGTAGCGAGTGTGTACAGACTCGACCCTGGCCAACGAGTGAACGTGGCCAGGTGACGCCCCGTCCGTGTGCACGTGCAGATCGACACACGCTGACCCCCAGGAGTGGTGGTAGTGACCATCGCATCCTGGAGGGCAGCGGTACCCACCAAGTTCGTAGAGAATGAGGGGAGGTGAAGACCTGACAGTGAGCCAGTGGAACCGCCAGACACGGGAGGACAGTGGAGGAACGGGCCACGACCGGGCCCCCAGAGGGGTCAGCCAGTCGGACCGGGACAGGTGCAGAGAGAGGAGTGAGAGTGGTGCTGTCACGAAAGAAACAAGCAGAGGCGTGTGAGTCCAGCGTGAAGGTGTGCAAGGCCTGAGCAGGCGCAGTACCAGGGAGAGTACCAGACTCACTAGCACCTAGAGCAGCAG